TTCCGGAATTTTGCATTGCACTTCCGACAATTAATAAATTTCACTTTTAACATTTATTATTTTCATTCCGGATGTTAACAAAATAGATGGAATTAAAATTTTAATAGGGTATAAATGGTGAATGGCTGAAAATTTATACATTTTATAATGTACATGGTACTTACGGCCTTTGAGCAGTAAGGGATGGGATACGGAGAAAATGATCAGGTGAAATGTTAAGGGAAAATGTAGTTTTTCTTTGTGGAAATGAGTGAAAGAGAATAATCTAAATGTGGAGACTACACTCTCTTTATTTGATACATATGTAGGTTCTGTTCTTCATTATGTATGTGAGATGTGGGGATTTCATAAAGTCCCACATGTTGAGCAAGCACATAATGATATTAACTTGAAGAAAATTATGTCGCTTCGAGAATCTACAAATAACTTAATGGTTTATTTCGAATTTGGTAGATGCCCAATGTATGTTCAAAGAAAACTTCGAATTCTGAAATATTGGTGTAATTTGCTCAATACAAATAATTGCATTCTGTGGACATGTTATAAACAATTGTTATGTGAGTATGAAGAACAACAGGAAAATTGTACAAACTGATTAAGTGCAGTTAAAAAGCGTTTTTAAAACGCTATTTCGTTTGAGTGATAAAATCCTTTAAAAAGAATATTGATGACTACCCTAACTCATCTGGAAAATCTGCAGCAAAATTTAAATTCTAATGAATCGATTTCGACTTCTTTATCAAAATTTTCCCGAACTTTTCCGTAGACCTCTGGCTTTTCCTTTAATTCTGTAACACTCGGAACTCGAGAGTTACCCGCTAGGTGTCGTTTCTGCATCGCTTCCGTATAATTTCTACTTTGACATTTCCAAATCTTACATTTTTTTACGTTTGACGATGAATACTCGGATTATTGTGGATTATTTACATTTTCAAATATTTTTCTTAAATGATCTTATTGAAGAGAAAATATGTTCAATTCTGTATGAACTTATTAGGGGGTCAGAGGTCATGACGTGACCGAATCACACAGCGAGACGATATCTACATATTTCTTTCACAGTGGCACTGGTTTCGGAACTTCTGGGCAGTTATAGCGATGAAAAAGATAAAATTATTGAAACAAATATTCTTTTTCGTTCAACAAATGATCATTAGATCTTTCTTCGTTGTGAAGAATGTTTTTTCATTATGACAGATATTTCCTGAACTGGACTGCTGAACATTAATGTAAGTATTCAAATGTTGGAGCGAGGCAAACTCTCAAGACCAAACAGCTTCTAGGTCATTGCGCGTCACAACATAGCAATACAGCGGGCCGCTCGTGTAATAAATGCAGTTCTATTCAGAATATTTGTCTCAAATGTAAATAAAAGTAATAAACTTTTGGACTTCACAGGATTTGATCACGTGACCAACCAAGTTCAATTCCCAGAGAACTTTTTAACATTGTTGTTTATTTCTTAAATGCATAGGCAATGAAATAGCACGATTAAAGACAAAAAATATCTACCGAAACAAGATATAATAACATATTTTGGTGACATATGGTAGGTATATATTTTAGGCCCGATATCCAAGAGGGGTCCAGTGTACAAATTGAAGTGACTTACCTTCTCTATTTCATAATACCGCGGGTATGATTTTTTTTAACAAAACGTTAATTCTACGTTATTTTTTGGATTTTTCATATGGAATACATTGTAAATGTGTACTAGAAGATTAATTTATGGAAAAAGACGAATAAAATATTTTTGGACCCAGGGTGTATATTGGGGGGGGGGGGGGGTCCTGTCCACAAGCACCTGTGCAGCATTCAAGCTTAAAAGACCATTCACACAATACAAATCAGGAGCAGCGCAAATCAAGTGCCATGAATCTGTCATGTTGTAAATTTTGAACTTACCGGTTGTCAGTAAATACAAAATTTACATGTCATGTTGTAAATTTTGTATTTACTGCCACCAGGTAGATTCAAAATTTATAGCATGAGAGATCCTTTTCATGCTAGCACTTACCCCGACACGAGACCTTATACGGTCTCATCCAAAGGACCGATCTCCACGTTTTACTACTTATCCAAACTGGACATAAAACATTCTCAATGAATTTTTAAATCATTGTGTTGAACCTAACAAATTACTCCGTATGGTCTGAAAAAACATGACTGAACTTATCCATTCAGAAACCCACAGATTGGGATTGCTCTTAATCAGTGTGTGTTATGGCCTTGATGCAAGGTCATTTGGTCGAGTCAAGGTCACTGACAGAGAAACTGTAATTTTGCTACCGTATTTGTACTAGTGAAACATTGCTGGTATCATGCAGAGTGTGACATGGCCTTGACTCAAGTTCAAGGTCACTAAGGATAAGATGTTTTGACTGTATGTATGAACTAAAAGAACATGACGTGTCACTGTGAACTTTTCAAGTCGGTAACACACAGATTGGGTTTTATGACGAGAGTGTGTCATGGCATGGCACAAGGTCATTTGGAATGTTCAAGGTCACGCACATTCCTTTACAGTTTTTCCTAGCGGAATATTGTAAGTTGCTTCCCCTTACAAGATTGCTTACATGTATAACTTTAGAATGTGGCATGACCTGACTCAAGGTCACTTCTTCCTTCCGCAGCTCCAACGGAAGACCTATTCGTTGCTTTGCAACGAGCTCGCTCTAGTTCATATTCTGATTGTGTGTGCTTTTGCCATAAAGCTAGGTTAATGTGTGTACCAATCAAAGATTTCTGCTAATAATTCTGTCCCCAAAAGTTGAACATCAAAGTGTTTACTTTTCAGGATGGTTTGCAACGTGTTAACAAACATGAAAAGTTGTAATATTGAAGTTCAAGTGTGGATACGTATAACTATATAAATGTGAAAAGAGTTTCAAGGGTCCTACTGATCACGATTTTTTTTTTATATAAAACTATTTGTATGTGAGATAAAAAAAAAATAAACAATAATTAACAAAATAAGCTTGTGAAAAAAAATAGGGCTTGTTTCTTATTTTTTCTAGATTTAAAGATTGTATTTGCTTGATCCACCTCATTTTTGTAAGGTTTGCAAAGAATGATTGAAAAAAAAAATGCAATCATCTAAATGGGGGGTATAAATAAAGAAAACACCACTATGCTAAATCTATCTGGTCAATTATAAGATTATGATATAACAAATAAATGAACATGTCTAATTTTACTTCTTTCTACCAAAAAAATGACAGGCAAATGACATGAGAACGATTTAGATTTTGAAAATTTACAAATTAAAACAATTTTTTTTAAGGATATGAGCAAAATTCAACATCTTTTTATGTCTTCTGCAGAAAATCCTTCACAACTCTCTTAATAAGGAAATATGAAGATAACGAACAGTATTCAATCTCGAAAGTCCAATGAAACTATACAAATTTGGAGCAGAGCAAACACGGACATCAAAATATAGAGGTGGGATCAGGTACCATGGAGGAGTGAGCATCCCCTGCCGACCGGTCACACCCACCGTGTGCTAATTGTCAGAATCGATAAAAAAAACCCATAAAAATCCATAGATAGTTCAGTGTATAATTAATGGCCTAACAATTAGTATGAAAAACATCAGTCAGCATTTGACTCAATGATAGGTTGTATGAGCTGACAAGGTCATTGTATCGACAGTAAAACTTGAGAAATGATGACTTCAAACGACACTGTTGATATCCTTGTTTCAGCAACTTGTTTGTCAATAGCTTGCCTCTTTTTAGAAACCCCTCATACGTAGAGCATGCTCTTGCGTATCGAATGAACTGAGAGACTTAATCCATATATGCAGGTGATGAAGGTATATTACTACATGTGTAAGGAAAGTTGACTATTGAAAAGTTGAAGTCATCACGTTTATCATAAAGCTTTGTTGTTAGGTTAACATTAACGTCTTTTTCTAGTAAAATATCTAAATGAGAAACAGATGTGTCAAAAGCAGTGGTATCTTTTATTTCAAGCTCACTGGGATATATCAAGTCGACGTACGAATGAAAGTAACTATTGTTAATTGATAATACGTCGTCAATATATCGAAATGTCGAGTTGAAGGCCACAGCAAGTGTTTTCTTCTCATTTAGAAGTTTTTGAATAAATTCTGCTTCATATGAATACAAAAATAGGTCTGCTAATAAGGGGCGCAATTGGTACTCATGGGAATTCCTGATCTCCAAAAACTACATAGATATTGTCAATCCGAAACTCAAGCATCTTTTTAATATCAACTTCAGAGTACTGTGTGTACAATCAGAATGTTTTTAACAAAATAATTTTGCAAATGACCAATGACAAGGTAAGTAAATTTACGAGTTCCATTTTTATTAAAAAGGCAGTGTCTATGATGTCAAAAACCTGGACTTCAATTTATCGTGGGAAATAATTGTATAAAGTGTTAAAAAGTCGTCCGTTTTGATGTTTTTGATTTTAGTAACATTTTGTGATTTCAAATATTCTAAAAGTTCTATCGAGTTTATAAGTATCCACCTCTGATTTACACCACTTCTCAAATATACTGTTGTACAGTACTCCTGAAGTTTCTCCTTCATTACAGTAAATATTATAGTGAGGAGTAAAGAAAGAGGCTTGGTAGAACATTTACTGGAAGCCGCTATGTATCTTTGTTTATAAGGATTTTTATGAAGTTTGGGAATAAGTAAATATCTATTAATGTTTTGAGAATAAAAAATACTCTTAATACGGCGCCTTTTGGTGCACAACTTAATTTTCTCCCTCTCTTTTAAAATCTGACTGTTGAGTTACGGAATGTACCCGTATATTCTCTTTAGCATTGTATGAAAAAAAGGAGTGAAAAGGTGTGTCTAATATGGGCTTTTTAGTTAGCTTATGAGTTTCTTGTGTGATGTAATTGGAAAAAAAATCATTGAAGAGATTTTTTTAAAGATTTGTCCCCTAAAATACAAGCATTCAAACCCTTTATTGATTTCGTTATTCTTAATAAATAACTCAGAGACTAAAAATTGCAGCAAGACTTTATCAACATCTACAGAGTTCTCGCTGGTCTTGGAAACTGACTGGATCCCATGTTAAGACCGTACATCCTGTTTCCTTCAAAGTGGATGTCCTCTCTACATATAATGTGACGAAAATGTCCAAGAACGTATTTCGAAACGGTAAATTTCGTTTTAAAGTAATGTTTAATTAGTCCTTGTACTAAAGGTACTTTGATACCAACTTCGTCAGTAATACAGAATAATACTTTTAAAGTATTTTTCAATGTCTTAAAATTCCTTTTGTTAAAATGTTATCGTTGTTTTCTTGCGAGAAAGATACTAGTACTTAATAATTTCACAGCTTAAAGAAATTAGTTATATGCTCATCTTATTTCAAACAGTACTTTTTTTATAATTTGCATTACATATACACTTAACATACAGTATATCAGACTGCTTAATTCAGTTAATAAGTACAGAGACTGTGCAACCATACTAGAGAAAAATCCAGGTCAGAAAGGAAAGGATGGTGTATACACAATTTATCCGGATGGAAAACAAAAGAAAAAAGTGTACTGTGACATGACAACAAAAGGAGGTGGTTGGACGGTAAGTTAACACTGAACAGGAACATGTTCTTTGTAGACAAAGAATAATTTCTATTGAACTATAAAGAGTCCTGCATCTTAAAACGCATCAATAATGAAACTACTTCACGTCAAATCAAATCTAAGAGACAACCCTGCTAAATGTTTCAGTCTATACAAAGACGAGAAGACGGAACTACAGATTTTTTTCTAAATTGGAGAAATTATAAGCAAGGATTTGGGGATCCCTCAAAAAACTTCTGGATTGGTAAGATCAGATTATGTAACATTTAAATTATAAGGTGTCTCATTAAATGTGAATATATATATATATATATATATATATATATATATATATATATATATATATATATATATATATATATATATATATATATATATATATATATATATATATATATATATATATATATATATATATATATATAGCAATATACCTTCATCAGCTGCATACGGGGTTTATATCTCTCAGTTGATTCGATACGTTAGAGCATGCTCTACGTATGAATAATTTCGAAAACGAGGTAAGTTATTGGCAAACAAGTTGATGAAACAAGAATATCAGCTGTCTCGTTTAAAGTCATCATTTCGTAAGTTCTATGGTCGATACAATGACCTTGTCAGCAAATACAATTTATCATTGAGTCAAATACTGACTGACGTTTTTCATAATATTTGTTAGGCCATTATTTACACACTGAATTGTCGACGGATTTTTCCGTTATATCCCGATGATGACAAGGAGCATATGGTTGGTGTGACCGGTCGGTAGGGGATGCTCACTCCTCCATGGCACCTGATCCCACCTCTGATGTTTTAGAGGTACGTGTTTGCTTTGCTCCAAAATTTGTATTGTTTGATGGATAATTTGCCAATATTTTCAAATTGAGTGGATTCCTTTTTTTCCAAATGGAAGACACTAAGTTAGATTCGGTTCAAATTGGGATCAAATTTAACATAATGCACGCATAATGGAAAAGAAATTTCTCCATAATGGAAAAGGGTAAAGATAAACAGTGATAGACCTCATAAAAACCACAAACAATACAAATTGTAAACAGTGAGCCACGGAAATTTCAGAGATGGGATCAGGTTCCTAGGAGGAGTAAGTATCCCCTTTTGATTGGTCACACCCGCCGTGAGCCCTATGATTTGATCAAGCAGACAGATCTTTCCGTAGTCAAATTTAGTACTAAAATTACCATTGCCATGAAACAAGTTAGCCGAAATACCCCCCAGTGATAGGTTAATTTTGCTATTAAGGTCATTATAACGACTATAGAACTTACGAAATTCTGACTTTAGACGAGGTTGCTGAAATCCTTGTAATATCAACTTATATGTGAGTAGTCTGCCTCGGTTTAAAAATTGATCGTACTCAGAGCATGCTCTTCAGTAGCAAATAATGAACACATAATGCAGATAAAAGTGGAATATAAATACATAAATGAGGAATGTTGACAATTGAAGAATTTCGTACTCAGAGCATGCTCTTCAGTAGCAAATAATGAACACATAATGCAGAAAAAAGTGGAATATAAATACATAAATGAGGAATATTGGCAATGGAAGAATTTTATTCTTAGTTGGCCGTTATCGTCTATAGTCAGTAAAATATCAAAATATGGAGTAAAAAATCTGGCAGACTCATATATATATATATATATATATATATATATATATATATATATATATATATATATATATATATATATATATATATATGAATGATGAGTTAAAGGCCACGGCTGGTGTTTTCTACTTCTCATGAAGAAGTTTTTGAATAAATTCTGCTTCAAAGGAATATCTGCAGGGTTGCAATAGTCATATTGATATTGAAGCATAACCCTTTTGCGTGGATGCAGAGACATCATAATCTTTCATTGGAATATAAAGGAGAAAACATTTAAAATATTCCTCAGAACTTTCTTGGGTGGGCATATTGACTCATGGGTTTCCTATTGTAATTATACTCTAAAAAATCAAAGATATTTTACTTTGAAGAAGTTTCGTTCATTGTGATTAGAACCAGTCTTTGAATGAATTTCAATAACCGAAAGGCTCAATTGTAGTCATATTATAATTTTCATATCTTGTTATTGGTCATCAACAAAATAACTTGGTTAAAATCACTCTGAAGTTGATAGATAAAAGATGTTTGAATTCTTCATTGACAACATCTTTGTAGTCTTTAGAGACCAGATCTTCCAACAAACTTTGAAATTCCAATCAACATTGATTGTGCTCCATTATTAGCCAATCTGTTTTCATATTTCTATGAAGCTGAATTTACTTTAAAAACTTCTACATAAAAAAAAAACGCTTGCCATGCTTTCAACTAAACATTCAAATATATTGATGACATATTTTCAATTAACAGTGGGTACTTCTATTGAGGTGTCGACTCGATTTATCCCATTGAATTCCAAATAAAAGACACCACAGAGTCTGACACATCTGTTTTTATTTGGATGTTTTACTTACTATGGACGATAAAGGCCAACTAACATCTAAATTGTATGAAAAACAAGATTTCAGATTTTCCATCGTTAACTTTCCTTATTCCTGTAGTAATATTTACCTGCATGTGGTGCTTAGGTCTCCCAACTTATTCGATACTCATCAGCATATTCAACCTCTAAAAATTCTTTCATACATTTCTTGTCTTGTAACTATATATATGTGATAGTTTAAATTGAAATTAGAATTAAAAAAGCAGCCCCGAGTACGATCAATTTTTAAATCGAGGCAGACAACCGACAGATAAGTTGATGTCACAGGGATTCTGTGGTCGTAATAATGACTAGTAAGACTTGTAAAAAATTTAACTGATCATTGAGTAGTATTTTCGCTGACGTATTTTTAGGCCTTTGTTATTATACTAAATTTGACAAGAGGATATTCCGTCTACCTCATCAATATAGAATTCTCAGAGGGGGAGTAACCGGTCGACAGGGGATGCTTAACCTCTCTAGGCACCTGTTCCCACCTCTGGAGTTACCGGGGTTTCGTGTTATTTCCTGTTCTCAGATTTGCATCGTTTCTTAGTTAGTTTGTTTGATTGTTGTTTAACGTTTTTTCATTCATATGGAGACGCCACCACTTGCATATGGAGGGCTGCAAATTTATACATTTACTCGGCACTCAGGGCCATTGAGCAGCGAGGAATCTTTTTCGTGCCAATACCTACTGCAACACGGGAATTCGGTTTCTCATCCAAAGGGCCGGTGCATCGTTTGAAGATTGATCACGATCGTGAATAAAACGTATTGCCCTTTAATATAGCGTAAAACAGACTCTAAAATCATTAGACCAGCGTGAATAATAAAAGTACTTCCCTGATATAGAATAAAATTTTAGTTAATTATGTTTTAAGGAAAATTTCCCCTTCAGCAAAATTAAATATGGGAAAGGTACCTTTATTAAAAATATAAAAACCAAATGAAGAAAATTGGTTTCAGAAAGGTAAATCGCCGATTTGATTCTTTGAAATTATACGGTTTTTACACATGGACCATAAAATATTTTATATAGGTCTCCTGCTTTTTATTCATGATCCAAAAAATACCTTGCATTTTTTACGCAAAAAACCACATGTTTAGGATAGCACTATAATCATCTTTGACATAATGAATGCCATTCTGATATACAGTGCATAAAAAACGAGAAAGAAAGCCATGTTCTTTTTATATTTTAAATACAGAAAATATTTTGCAAAATTCACAAGGAACAATTCCTTTTTTGGCTATTGAGGTAAAATGTATTTCATATGGGCAGCTGTAATACCCACAAGAATGTGATACACTTTTCTATTACACATCTATGTTACTAGTATATGCCTAAATATGTGCGCAGTATTAATATCCAATGTCAGCCCAAATGTAGACGCAACATCACATTCCTCTTTCCCTGTAAAAAGATTGTTTGCACAAAAAATATCATTTTTCTTGTTTCATTTACTTCATGTGTAAAACCTTGTGCATAAATCCCCCCTTATTTGCCAAAGCTTAGAGATATTCTAAACGTAATAGGGTGAGTCCACTATGCATCAGACAAACATACCTGTATTGTATCCGTGTTTTGATCCGATGCATAGTGAAGGCACCCTACATGCAATTCTTTTGCGCTCTAAATATTTTTTTCAATGCATTTTGGTAGTTGACTCTTGTACCATTGATATTCTTTAAAAATTGATTTTTTTTTTTTGTATGAATCAGTTAACGTTTCGTATGGCAATGAAGCAAAACATGAAACAATATTAGCCTCCTTTTTTACCATGAAATATTTATTTTTAGAATTGAATTTTACATTTAGGATTTTCCTATTAAACTTATTCATATACATTTACATATTCTTGAAATCGGGATTTGCGGGGAAATAGCAGTAGTGGGAATTACCGGTTTTAAATACCCGTCCCTCTAAATACTACAAATTTACAAATTTCCTCTAAACTGGGACATACAATATTTAAGATTTTTATTTCTTAAATTCATTTAATCTTATACTAAATTCAAAATTAAAATGAACATAAAAAACAGAAGATGAATAAAATTGAATATGACTCAAACTGCAATTTAACATACTCAGTGTATACCTGTACTCCAAGTCCCCTACGCATAAACATTCTGTAGCAGAACATGTTTCTCTGATTGTATTTTAAGAACAAAACGGAACTTTTCTAATTCCAGTATCTTTTCAGTTTAGTAAAATTATAAAGTTTATCAATTATAACCAAAGAAATAATAAACTTGTTTTAACCCTTCTTAACACCTTAGTTATTACAATCAATCATGTTGTTTTAACAAATTGACTCTGGACAGTTTTGTGAACCTGTTTTGAGAGATAATTACCTTGAGAGAACTGAAAGGCTTCTTCTTAGATTTGATGTTTATACCATATTCTACATTCTACAATTTTCTTAGATCCTTCTTTAGTTCCATTATTTAACAAAATCCAAATGGGATTTTGAGGTTCATTTCATGAATCTTTGTAGACTAATCT